TGGTGTTGTCAGTAAACATTAGCACAAAAACCAGACTGTTTTAACAGTCTCTTAAGTAGAAATCATGAGAGCATGAAATGAAAGGCATGAAAACCAGTCATTCTCAGGACTGAAACAAGCAAGAACACAAAAGTTAAATATTAGGAGTCATGAGAACAAGTGGCTTACCTGCCACTGCCACTTTCCAAGAGTGGTGTTCTTTCTGCCTTGGTTTTTCTTGTCTCCTATATTTTCTAGGAGTAGAAATGCCTACAGGCATTTCAGTTACCTGATTTTAGTGATCAGCCTGTTCCTCAGATACAGAGAAAAGTTGCTGTTAGTTTTAACTAGTATTTTCTTTTTCTCAGGTGGTACGTGACTTATGGCCATGAGCTCATATGGAAGAATAGAGAACCACTGGTGAAAGCTTGGCATGAAATGAGGACAAAGAACACAGGAAAGGGAGGAGGTGGAAGATCTGACTGATTCCAATCCTAGAGATTCCTTGTGCCCAAGTGGTACATTACTTGAAGACACGGGATTGAATTGGTTGTCTGCTACACCACATGAAGCCTCTAAGGAGCTGAAGTTTCTAATGTAAATTACAGTTACAGAAATGCGTATCAATAGAAAATGAACTCTGACAAAGGTGGAACAATAAAGGTTTTTATCCTGTTGCTTTCTGAGGTAATAGTCTGTGTTACATTTTTTTAAAGGAGAAATATATATTAAAAAAGGCTTTCCAATGAATTGACCAAATGCCACAAAGCCTCAATCTGGGGCACAACTGATTAATACTTAGTAAAATTCACTTCCTTACTTATGAATCATGCATCCTCCTAATGTCCACCAACACTATTAGGTGTTTTCCTGGAAGGCGTGCTTTAGGCAGCCTGGACTCAACATAAGGGTAATGTGGTAAAGTCCAGTGGTCTTTATTATTGACAAGATTAACTGAGATAAGCCAATGGTCTCTACTGATTTTAAATGTGAAATACGTGAAGCAATACTGGATTGTTTGCCAAAGCTTACATACTGGTTAATGGTACAGCTTTATTCATTCTATGATTTTATTTATCAGCTACAGCTTATTCAAATTGGGGTTTCCATTTCTATCTGCTTCCAAGATGCTATCAAATCTTGTTAGAATTTACTACAGTCATATCTTTTTCATAATTACATGCAGTGGAAAAATGTACTGTGGTTTTGAATGTTTTACTGTGAGTTATACTGCTAGTGCTTTCTGTATTCTTTCACTGCGTTAGTTTCTGGGTTTGGTTTTGTTTTTTAGTGTTATTCTAGATTGCTAATTTTAAGGGTTTTCTAAGTACTTTTAAAGCTTAATATTTGGTTAAGAATGTGCCAGGTCTATTAAATAAACAGCTACAGCAAAAATAGATTAGGTGCCCTAGTAAAGGGTAGTACCATGACCAATATTCCTACTGTACAAATAAAAACAACAATTGATTTTTGGGTATGTTGCTACCCTGTGCTTGTCCTGCAAAGATGACTACCACACCCCTTGCAAAGGGCTGAGGAGTCTGCCCAGATCCGAGCTGGTGCATTCAAACCCTCAGCTCCTCCCTATAGGCCGAATTAGTCATTCCAGATAGACTGACTTGCCAAAGAATGTGTTGCTTCTGTAAGAAGCCTAGTTGTGACTTTCTGCTTGATAACAGTACCTTGGAGAAAATAATTTCCTATAGGACCAAAGAATACAGAATGCAAAAGGCACCAGTCCAAATAAATGATGGAGTACAAAATTGCTGTAAACTCAATTACTGCCACAGGCCAGTGTTCAAGTCTCATTTTTTTCCTCCCTTGGAAAACTGAGGCCCTTGAGGTTTTGTTCCTTAAGTGCCCGTCGACTTAAACAGTTGAAAAATGAAGGAGTCTGAATTTCTAATAGACCCTTGCTCCACTCCAGAAGCTGCCTGGCTGCTTGTAACCTGTTAACGGAGCCAATCCTCAGGACAAGCATGCCAGTTTTTAGGGCTTCATCCAGAATGCAGCCCTGCCTGCAGCAGAGAGAGGGCAGCCGAACCTGCAGCAAGCTGCCACCAGCAGCAGTAACAGCAGCCACCTCAGCAGTGTAAGATAGCCACTGAACAGGCTTATCATAAGGGAGTATTTCGTGCCAAAGAAGCTCAAAAGCCACAGCTCACAATATCTGCATTTTGATCTCAGACCTGTTTAATGCTTATCTATCTGTTGTCTTTGCTCACTTCATTTCCCCTCCCCCCCCCTTCCTTGCATTACCTCTTGTCCACTCAACAGCTTACCTGGTCTATTCAACATTTCTCTATTTGCTGAAGGTGTTTTTTAAAGAGATCCTGGTTGAAAGCAGCAGGGAATAATGCAGGAAATAGTACGCCAAGCTTGAATGACATTAGATTTTACAGGTCTGGAAGAATACGCCAAGCTTACAATTAAGTTCTTCACCATAGTAGCCAGTGCCTACCTCAGACTTCGAAAGTCATGCCCCTCTATTGGTTGCAGAGTGGAGCCCCACTTGTGGTCTGTTAGACCTGCTAAGGCAGGAAGGGTGCAGGTAAACGCCACAACATTTTCAGGCCGTCCCTTCAGAGGCAATGCCTGCAGTTCTGCTGGACATCTGATGCATAAGCTTCACCTTAACTTTAGACCTAATAGCCTTGTAAAGGCTGTTTTGATTCCTTATTTGTAGGAACTCTAGAGGCATTTAACATATGTACAAAGGTAAACCATCTTCTCTGCTCCAAAATGACCTTGAAACTGCAATAGGAAAGTCAACACTCAGGGAATAGCTGGAGTTACGACAGCTCACTAGAGTACAAAATACATTTCTGGCAAGCAGATACCCTTCTTGCAAAATCTGGCATCAGTATACACCACTACCTCAGTATTTAGTCACACCTTTGAATAACAAAGAGATTAGAAGAATTAAAAAAAACAAACCCAGAAAAAAAAACAATAACAGAAAGAAGCAGTCATCTAAAACAAAACTAACCACATGGAAAGACTTTTCTCCCCCTTTTCAAAGAGCTATTATTGTGCATAAGAATACAATGTAGTAATTATGCAGACTTGGCAGAGACAGCAGCCAGTGTTTACATAGGGAAATAGCACTAAGTGTAAAGTCATGGTTAATTGTGTAGAGACACAATCCTTCACCCTTTTTTGATCCCTAAGAATGTCTGCTGTGGCCTTGCCATGTTTAAGGGGTATTTTGTTTTCTTGTAGTGAACTGCTCTGTTGGAATTTCATTTTATTATTAGAACAAACTGTCTGCTGGAGGTTTCAGCCCCCATTCCTAGCAGCAACAGCTGCTTTGCTGTCTGGTTTGATGGTTTTCCTTAGTTTTACTGTTGCAGTATTCCTACCCCCTCCCCCAGCTTTTAATCACAATAAATCTCTTCTAAATGCAGCCAAGTTTTTAATCTCACCCCGTGCCTCCTGGATCCCCTATCCAAGCTAGCCTTTGTGCCAGCTTCATCCTACCTGCTACAAAGAGCAGCAGCTCAAAGCACTCCCTGGTGCTGTAGGTGGGCTCTGAGACACGCAGCGCCAGAGCTGAACTCAGTACTAGGAAGTGGCAGGCACAGGGAGTGCAGAGACATCCGATTTATTCTCCAATGTGTTTTGCTAAGTCAGGCCTAGGAACAAGGACCAGAGCATCATTTGTACTGTGCCAGTGATAGCGATGTTAAAGCTGATGTTCTGTTTTCTCCCATGGCTGTGAAGTCCATTCCTGACGCGTTCTGCACTTCACTCAAATCTGATTTATTTTTAAGAACTGCTACATAGAGCAGAATAGTTCCAGAAAAAAAAAAACAAATAAATAAAAATGCAGCAGAACACTAAGAAATGTCTCCCTGAATATCCTTAAAAGCAAGATTATGTTTATGGGCTTTTCAGACAACAACTGAAAAGCAGCATCCAATACCCCATACCTTACTGTGTCAAGACTTCAGTGTGGGACCAGAAGCATTACCTGGAATTTCTGACTCTCCCTGCCCTAGCCAACAGGCACAGGGAATAGGGGGAATCAGAACCACCAGCAGCACCAGCAAGTGCCAAATCAGATACTTAGGACATCAGCATCATCTGCTAAAGGAGTTTCTATCCTTTGACAACTGTGTTTCAAAGAGAGGTCAGACAAGGAGAGGTTCTGCTTCAGACTAATACCTGCATTTCCAGCCCTCCTCTCCACCAGAGGTAAGTGCAATCCTAGACTGAAGCCTGAGGTGCAAATACACTACAGATACAGGCTGATCAGCTGAAATAGAGCAGTAAATCTCAGCTTTTCAAGTTCCATGCCTAATTAATTTTGTATTAGATCTCATCAGACAGCCACCTGCAACTAGATTATTCTATTCCAAAATAAAGTACCTGTCAAGTTAAATAGATGATTTTCTAATAGGTGGCATCTCAGTTTATCTGCACTCTTCACTTTTTCAGCCTACAGTGACCCATTCAGATCCAGCTTCTTCTGCAGTAACCCACTGAATGGTGAACTGGGGAGGAGCATTATGGCCTGTAGCCACTTATTACACAAGGTTCCAAGTTTCAAAAGCCAGACTTACCCCCCGTGTAATTCTGTCAGCTTTGGTGGTTTGTGCTGGATCTGTTTGGGTATGAACTTCAGTGTACAAAAGAAAAGCTTTAATTCCCAGCCTCTGGAAAACAGTAAATAATGTGGACAGATACATAACAAATGCTTGGGGTTTGGTCAATAGGTTGTATTTTAAAAGTGAAGCAGTTAAACTATTCCTCCAAATGGAGGAAGAGGTGGGGTGTTATGAGAGGTGGGGAGGTTTGTAGATGGCTATTGGAAATGAAAATTGCAAAGTTGCTATTTCTCATCCAGGTCACTTATTTTATAAACATCTGCTTTCACATACAAATGATTTCGCTAATCAGAGATGGTGATGGATAACTTGAAATTACAATTATTGGCATTTTACAACTGTCTGTAATGACAGGACAAGGAGGAATGGTTTTAAACTGACGGAGGGGAGACTGAGATTAGACATTAGGAAGAAGTTCTTCCCTGTGAGGGTGCTGAGGCGCTGGCACAGGGTGCCCAGAGAAGCTGTGGCTGCCCCACCCCTGGCAGTGTTCAAGGCCAGGCTGGACACAGGGGCTTGGAGCAACCTGCTCTAGTGGAAGGTGTCCCTGCCCATGGCAGGGGTTGGAGCTGGATGAGCTTTAATGTCCCTTCCAACCCAAACCAGCCTGGGATTCTATGATAACTAAGCAGTGCTGCCCAGCTAGAGCAGAGCAGTGTTCCCTGCCTGTGCCTGGATAAGCTGCGGAGCTCCCTGGGAGCAGAGCGGGCTCCTAGCGCACCGAAAGCAAAACCCGACTCGGAGGCGCACGGAGAGAGGGGAGCCGATGCCTCTCGGAAGCCACCGCAGGCAGCAGCCGGGACCGCACTGGGGCTCCCCTCCGCCGGGAGCCGCCTGCCGCCGGGTCCGGTCTCGGCGGCTGCTCCCGCATCGCCGGCAGCCCGGGTCACGTGCGCGGTCCGTAATCCCGGCGAGGGGGTGTCGTTACCGGGAAGGGGGGCGGCGGGAGGAGGGGCTGCCGCCCATGAGGGCTGAAGCCGGGTGCGCGGCCGGCTGCGGGCGCCGCTGCGGCCATGGCCTGGCCCTGCATCAGCCGCGTGTGCTGCCTGGCCCGCTTCTGGAGCCAGCTGGACAAGTCCGACCTCTCCGTGCCGCTCACCATCCACAACTACTCGGACATCGAGGAACAGGAGGACGGGCCCCACCACCAGCGTGGCGGAGCGCCTCCGCGGGGTAGCGCTCGCCCGCCCGCCCCGACCCCGCGCCCGCGGGACCCCGCCGCAGCCACCGGGAAGCCGGGAGGGCGCAGAAAGAGCCGTGCGTCCGTCGGCGGAGAGCCCTTCGCAGCGGAGACCCAGTACCGGCGGGACTTCCGAGCGTGGCCGCTGCCGCGGCGGGGGGACGCCTTCCCCTGGGTCAGCGCCAGCAGCGGCGGGAGGGACGGGGCCGCCCCCCAGCCCGCCCCGGGCCGCTCCGCCTGCGCCCTGCCCGGCAGCGGCGGCCCCGAGCAGCTCCGGCCGCGGCCGCAGACGGACGGCGGGCACACCACCTCCTACAGGTAAGCGGGGCCCGCTCCCCTCCCCGCACCAGGGATGCTCCTCCGCAGCGCAGAGGAGGGGGGCTGTGAGCGAGGGAACGGGGGAGGACAGGGACTGCCGCCTCAGCCTGTGCCAAAGCCGCGTTTGCTTTCGGAGGTGCGGTCCCGCAAAGCGTCGCTTGGTCCCCGGCTGCTTTTGCACCAGAGGCGGCTCGGCTGGGCCGCCCCTGCGCTCCCTCCCCCCTGCCGCGGATAAGGAGTAAAAACCGGGTAGGATCCATGATGCCATCCCCAGCCAGCAGCTCTGCACCGAACCGCTACTGGGGGACACGGGGCTGGATGGAGCTGCACAGGACACGGCTGTACTCAACAGTCGCACTCCCCGAACCTGACAGGGCTATCATCTTCTTCCCTACAGAACTCCTGTAATACCATGTTCAAGGCATTGCTTCAAAGATTAGTCAGATGCAGACACCAGGGATGTATTTCTCCAGACATGCCATCTAATGGGTGATGGGGAAAACCATCACAAACCACCTTTCCCAAAGAGCCTATAAAATTATTACACGACTTTTATGTTATCGATGCCTTCCTTTCCCAGTGATCAGGACAACCGATTACAAACGCTTATTTTCTGGAACAAGTAGTCAGGTGGGATGCACATAAATCCAGCCCTTGTTCTCACGGACATCCACCATGGGAGGAGAGGGGATTTCAGCCCCTACAAAGGCTGTTGTTGAGTATGGTACCAGTTTCACATTGTTACCACACACTTCCTCAGAATGATATTTGACAGGCTTTAATATACCTATGAGGTATAAGGAGAGTAACTATTTTTACTCCAGTAGAATCCCAAGCATTGAGATACTTGTTATCTATTATGCACCTAGGAGACATTTCTCTTTTTAAGTGCAATTCATTACGTTATTTATCACAGCACTTTTAAGACAAACACACTGGGGCCCTGAAAAGATTACAGGCCAGCAGAGGAAAGTGCATTGCTTATCTCACTCCTCCTCATGCAGACAGCTGCCCTGGTACTAGCGTAGTTGCCATATGGATTCTGGAAGGATAACTGCAGTGCTTGAATTTATTCACTGTTCTATGCTTTTCCACTTCTCACAGGACAGTCACAGGGTGATGATTGGTTTTGAGGAAAAGCACTTTCAAATTTCAAAGCAGCACAAGAATTACTTTAGAGAAACCTCTCTAGAACAAGACCAGCAAGGGGCATCTTTCAGAAACACAACCCTCTCCATGCTGTTGTTGAAGCCTCCTCTGGTTCTCCAGCCTGACCCCAAAGGAAGGGTGCATCAGCCTACATGAGAACTTTCCTACAGCCATTCTAATACTCAAAGAGCCACTTCTCACACCTTTCTTCCTTCTGACTTGTCTGCTCTTACACAGGGCTCTCAACTAGTTTTATGAAGGAGCAAGAAGTTTACAGATCACACAACAAAGTACTGGCTGGAGCGACACACTTAACATGCAAATCAAACCAAACTTTGCAACATGCAATACTTCATGGTAGCTTCAGGAGGAGCAGGGCAGGGTAAGGATGGAGGCACAAGGCTGGGCAAAGTTCTCACATAAACTCTTTAAGCAGTTTGGAGGCTATGCAATACAACTATTACAGGTAGGAATACACACGTCAAACCACTTTTATCTTATTTCAGTAATTCCTACAGTTTCTTTGAATAATCAGTACAACATTGCAAATATAAGAAATCCCCAGACCACTGAGCACACAGGAGTCACAACAAGCAGTAGGAAAAAAGCCCGCAATAGCTTCACAATCTGCAAAAATCTATTTTGGTTTAGATTTGTTGCCTTCTTCTGCAAGCTGAGCACTTAACCGCCTTTCCACTAATGTCACTATACTTCAGTTCTCTTTTCCGCTTACCTTAGTATTTCCAAAACTAGCATTGCAGTCCACAGACATTAATCTTTCCACAAGGGCTGTTGTTCTCCAGCTTCCCCTCTGGCAAAGGCCTGTGGACTACGCTGTCCCTTGGTAACCACACACAACTCCACTATCCTCTAGCAGGGATCTGCCCCACTTCTTCCTGTAGGCTGCATTCACCCAGAGGCAAGGAGGCAACTGGGGAAGGAGAAAACACAGGTCACGTTTGGGAGAGGCAGAGCAGGGGGGTTCTGTTACAGGCAGGAGCTGGAGGGTGCTGCGCCCTGAGCAGAACATTGGTGAACCATGTAATGCCTTTAGAGTGTGCCTTGAGGAAGCAAATGTGCTTCATTTTGAAAGACAAATTCTGTATAAATGGTGGAAGAACAGCTTAGCTGTCTGACCTCCAAACTATTGTCCCATGTTCCCAGATCTATGGGGCAGCTCCTGCTTCCAGTCCTTGGATTTGGGCTGGAGTTCTGCAGGGCCTGAATGTAGTCAAACCCCAACAGGGCTACAGGGAGGGACCTCAGGCACACAGGCTGAGGCAGATCTATATAAGCTGCACTTGAAAGGCTAGAATGGGATGTGCTCCAACTGTGAAAAGACCTTAGGGACTGCAGAGAGTTGAGGTGGATTATTCCTTACTGATGCTGGAGGAGGTGGAAGGAAGTGCTGAGCACCTACTGCTGCACCTTCCCAAAGGTTTGTCCTTTGGGATCATGGAAGTGCCTTCTCCCTTTCAGCAGTAAGTTGCAGGTGCTGTGTACTTCTGGCTTTGCACACAATTAGTCATAGCACTAGGTCTTGAAGCATTTACAGACATGCTGGAAACAGATGAGTGCTTTACTTACCTCCCTTCTGCAGTGGATGTGAGAAGCTTTTGGCAGGTATCTCCAGCTGGTTCTGTCCTCTGGGTAGCATCATCTCACCTTGCTAAAAGGCAATGTGGATCCAGGCACAACCTCTCTTCCAGGCGTGGTATTGCTGGGAGGAGAACCCCGTGCAAGGTTCAGCTGTACTTAAGTCACTTCAGACTTCAGTTTCCCTTTCAGTAACATGCCAGCTTTAGGAAAGCACTTCAGATGTGCTTTCACATCTACACAGAGCTGCGAACAATTGTTCTGCATCTTCTTCCCCCACCCATCACCTTTACTTGTATTAGCACTTGGGGAATGGCTATTTCTGTACACATGCACAGCTCCAGCCCCAAGCAGAGCTTCATCTATGCAGCTGGTGTTTCCACACCATAAGTGTTTTGAGCAGGAGTGAGAGTCATAACACCCAACTTGTTTGCAGGTGGGAGGCACAGCTGTAAAGTAGACCAAACTTTAGATCAGCAGGGTTTCCTGTGCACCCAGGAGGAGCAGTTTTGTTCTGATGAAAATAAAAGATTTGAAAAGCTGAGGTAATTACAAAGATGTAGCATCGATGATGATTTTGGGAATAGCAGGGTGAAAGATCCCTCAGCAAACTGAATTTCCACCTTCTTGTGTGAGTATTCAGCACATGATGTCAATTGCACTTGTGCCCATGGAGCAGACATAGAATCACAGAATAGTTAGGGTTGGAAAGGACCTTAAGATCATCTAGTTCTAACCCCCCTGCCATGGGCAGGGACACCTCACACTAAACCATGCCACCCAAGGCTCTGTCCAACCTGGCCTTGAACACCCCAGGGATGGAGCATCCTCCACACCAAGGCTGATACCACAGAATGGAGAAGACACTTTTTCCATAAGTATGGATGCAGTCACAGAGCATCCTGTCCATACTGGCTGCCCATACTATCCACCCCCCTTCAGACAGTGTGCAGAAAGGCAACATGAACTGTGGTGACTGCTTCATGTTGAAAAGCACCTTATTTCAGCTGTGCAGAAGAAAACAGAAAATACCTACACTTGTGTTCAGCAATGTGTGGGATCATTGCACACACCTGAGCTGGCAGGGTTAATAGTACTGTGTATGAGGAGCTCAATCCTTGATCCAGCAAGATATTTAAATGTATGCTTATCCTTAATAATAGGAGTAAAGCTTTTATAATCAAGGCTTACAGTTATCTTTACATTCTTAAGTATCTTGCTGCTTGGGGAAATTAATACTGAAGCCCCTGATTTTTATACCATTTAAGAAATAAGCTTGCTTGGTGCAGGCATTGGGATGCATCCAAAGGGACCCACTGTGCCCTCCATAGCCTGGCTGGGGGAAGGGAGGGCTTGAACAGGGACAGAGCCATGGGAGGAGAGAGGGAGAGGGGTGGAGATAGTGGCTCAAGAGAGGATGATACTCAAAGTACACTATAGAACTGAAATGGGAAAGATTCAAAGCTGCTGATACAGGTTGGATAGAATTTCAAAAGGTTGGATAGATAAAGGTTGGAAGAATTTCTTCCACCCAAAGTACACCCAAATTTACGTTAGACAAAAAGAGGAAAGAATGGGAAGTGGGCTAATAACAAAAGACAAGCTCCTAAGACCTACCCACAACCCCTCATTCACACAGCTGCCTGTCCTATCACACCACTGTAAGTACTCCTTCATCAGGGATCTCTGTGAGGAGGGCAAGCCCCTAAACTCACCCTAAGACAACATTTTGAGGCTTACAGATCTTTCCTTCTGTTGTTTCCTTCTGCTGTTTTTTCCTTCCTGTGAGTTATGAGCAGCTCAAAGTACTGCATTACCTTGCTGCTGGCAAGAGCTGAGACACGAAGCAGCCAAGTGTCTTCTGCTTTCCTCCTCTCTAATTTCCATGTGCTGGTCTCTCTACCCTCATAGGTTTTTTCTTCCATCAGCTTTTCCTTTCCCCCATTTCTGTCCTTGTGCTGTGCTCTTTGGCCAGACAGGAGAATGGGCACAACCTGCTCTTGTGTCCAAGACCTGGAAGGGGCTCCAGCACGTGTCAGATCTGTCTCAGCAGAAAAGCAGTTTAATGGGTCCATTATCCAGGAGGGCTCATGCCATAGGAGATCAGTCCTGGGCTGTTTTGCCCAGCCTTTCCCTGCAGTTCAGAGTCCTGGATTTACCCACAGAAAATGGTGACTGCAAGAAAGAAATGCTGCTGTTGGGGGTCTAAATCATGGCTGTATCTGCCGTCACACTTTTGTTTCTATGGGTGAAGGCAGAACCTTTCCTCTGTTGTTTGTAGGTGCCGTGAAAATAGACTTGGCTATCCCGGCTGAGAGGGGAACGGTTTGACTTCCAGCCAAAATGAGGGTCCTATGATCCAAAAGGGCTGTGTTTGAGGGCCTGCCAAATCAGCAAATGATCTGTACAAAGCAGCCAGACAGAGCTGGCTGCAGAGACAGGCAGCAGAGTCATTCATGGAAAGCTGGTGTGCACTATTGCAGTGTAATGCAGCAGGGAGACCAGCTAGCACAAGGATGAATGGTTAGGAATCAATGGCACCGGCATCCTTGAGGCTATCAGGCTTTATGTGGAGCAGCAGGTTCCAGTTCCTGGAAACTGCTGGGATGTAATTGATGGCTTTGTACCATTTTGCTGGTATTTTGCCCAGTAGTTGTGTGTCCCACCTCTGACTGCACAGCACTGCAAAGCTCAGATTGTAACTGCATTCACATGTGGCTAGGATTCCCTGCTGAAAGGTTGCCTTCTTGGGGCACTGCTTGGCCAAAATTGCCTTTCTGCAAAGGTGCTTCCTTAGCCTCAGGTGCTAAAGCAGCAGGAACCTCAGCAGCAGCAGCCTGAGAGTTGCACAGGCTGAACAGCAAGGTGCAGAGAAGGCAGGAAGTGACGGCTCAGAACAGCAAGAGCAAACTACTCAAGAGACGAGATTTACAGTGCACATAAGACAGGTCTGACAGGGGCCTGGGTTTGCTTTCTGGCAGCAGGAAGCTCTTCCAAAGAGCAATATTTGTTACTGAGTGGATTTAAGAACTCAATTCCACCTTCACTCAAGCTGACAAACTGCTATCAGACCCAGCTGCGGGCTCCTGCCCATTTCCTTGTGCCTGCACATGAACTCATCCATCTTGATAGGAGGCCAGTGCCAGCAGCTTACTCAGTCAAGAAACAGTTACTTAACTGTTTGGAATTAATTTTGGTAGCATTCCGGTTTCTCATTGGCTTAAATACAGCCTGGAGTTGTACCCTGTGCCTAGAAATCAACCAAGAAAAGGGGCAGCACTTTAAGGCTGAATCTATGTTTAGAAATCAAGCATAAACCAGGCAGTAGGTATTTTGGTAATATACTAAAAGGATTAATAGAATCATAGAATTGATTCGTAGAATCATAGATTGAGACTAGGCTACACATTCTAAAGTAATACTCCACACCTATACACTTTATGTGAGATTTTAAAAAGAGGAACTTGCAGCTACTATCAAAATAGTAAACAGCATGCTTGGGAAAGTCATAATCATAGTATTATAGAATGGTTTGGGTTGGAAGGCACCATAAAGCTCATCCAGTTCCAATGCACTGCCACTTCTGCTAGAAAAGGTTGCTCCAACCTAGCCTTGAACACTGCCAGGGATGGGGCAGCCACAGCTTCTCTGGGCACCCTGTGCCAGTGCCTCAGCACCCTCACAGGGAAGATTTTCTTCCTAGTATTTAATCTAAATCTACCCTTTTTAACTTAAAGCCATTCCCTCTTGTCCTGTCACTGCATGTCCTTATCAAAAGTCCCTCTCTAGATTTCTTACTGGCCCCTTTAGGTATTGGAAGGTCTCCCTGGCATCTTCTGTTCTCCAGGCTGAACAACATAAAAATCAGAAAGGCTATGATCAAAGCTAAGCTTGGCGCATTAAAACACTGCCTATTTCCCTAGCTCAGGACTCAGTCTTACCCCTTGATCCTGTGTATAAGCAGCTAGTAGAGGCCTTTGCAGCTACTCTGAACAGATGTACCTTGTGAATATGTTGTGTTTTACTCGTTCTTGTCTTAATCTCATTTCAGGCAAGAGTATCGCCCATGGACTGGAGCAAAACCATCCAAGCCTATAAAGACAAAGCAAGGCTTCATTATGTCAGAAGACCATTTTGTTAAAGAGACAAGCTACAAGGCAGACTTTAAGGTAATTGACATTTGTTAAAATCCCACAGTTGTTATGAGTAAAGCCCAAAGTGCACATTAGGAACTCATTTTTTACCAGTGTGGTGCATGTAGAATAAAACCATGCCCTCATTGACCACTCTTTCATCACAGCCCCTTAGGTAATGTGGCCATCTGTTCCTCGGGATTTTCCTGTGAGTTTCTACAACTCTCTATATACCAGCTTATTTTCTTTGTGAAATAACATCTAATCACTACTAAAAATCCTACAAGAAAACGTCTCTTTGTACTGAACGTTTTCTTTGGCAGGGCTCCCCACACTCCCCATCCCCATGAAGGAGGAAAATGTGCCCCAGCAAGGCTCTGGTTTAGCTGCTTATTGCAGCAGACCACCAAAGAGAATAGCATTTCACAACCAACCCTAAAAGCCATTTACTGGCAACACTGAGAGACTGGGAAAGCAGAAAGAGGCTGGGGATGAATTCCCTCACTACAGCGTGCCACGGGGTTAGAGGTAATAGCAGCTGCCCCAGGGCCACATGTAAGAAAGTAAATCTTAGCCTTGGAGAAGAGGAGGAGGAGGAAGTGTTTAATTAGCAGACAGTCAAGTGTCCCCTCCACAGAGGATTGCTGGCACACTGCTGTGACATGGTATACAAGGCACAGGATGGGTAAGCTCCACTAAAAGTGGGACAGTAACCTCAGGCAAAACAGAATCTTCAAACCTCACCAAAACTACTTCCTTTCTCTGAATAGTCTGGGCTGATTACTGAGGTGCAGCAATGAGAACAGAGGTTATTTAACCCTTACCCCCTACATTTTGACCCTGAAAGGGCAAAATACAGTGTCTTCCTATTTGGCAGATAGGATACAAAGGAGCGGGGTCTAGATGAACCCCTCAGACTCACTATCCCAGTTCTCAAGGAAGGGAAATCTGAGACACAAACACATGCCACTGAAGACACTGCACTCTGGACTGTCCAGAGGTCCCATCTCCTGGAGCCCTAGGGCATCACCACAGCCTCTCCTGCATACAGTATGGGAAAGGTGTAGTGTGCCAAGGAGTCACCAGTTCAAAGAGAAGTTGGACTCCCTGGTTCACACTTAGCCATTTAGACTTTCCCCTTTGCCTGAAGCCTGTGCTTTTGCTCCCATGGGGGAATCAGGGTTATGTTGTGTCCCGACTGCCTGCTTTGCTACTGAGCTGTGCACAGGCTGTTTGCAACACTCCTCTTGTTCCTTAGTGTGTCAGATGCATCCCCAGAGGAACGGAAAAATCAGAACAATGAAACAACCACTAGATCGATAGCTTTCCCTGTACTCTCTTTGCCTGTGGTCTTGCTCTGTTTTCTCTGCTTGGATGGTGCCATCAGAACACTCAGCACCCAGCAAAGCTTTCCATCCTTTCATGTTTTACAGCCAGATTCACCCAGAATCCTGGGCTGGAATCACAACTATGGCCAGTCCTATTTCAAATCCTTTAAGCATTAGGGAAGACACAAGCATCCCTGTGTCCCTCATGCCTCAGTACAACCACAACAGCCACATACTGCATGAAATTCTGACTCCACAGACATGAGAAAGCGCAACCTTCGTTATCTCTACCTTTTCCTCCAGACCTGAGGAGTTAACATCCTTATCAAAGCCCTTGCAGTTTCACAGCCTGGCTCGGCCAGTAACTGCTTTTTCTCCTTCAGGTGCTCCAGGTCTATCTTGCAGAGGCTGGCTCAGGGCCTGCCCAGCCGTGGTTGTTCCCCATCAAACCACACACCTCAAGGTGCAAGGGCTGGGTTACAACAAAGCCCCATGCCTTGTACACCAAGGCCAGTCCCATTGAGTTTACAAAGGCTGCAGGAAGGCTCAGTACACTCAGAGTGTACCAAGGAAAAGCTGAGAGAGTTGGGGTTGTTCAGCCTGGAAAAGAGAAGACTCTGGGGAGACCTCATTCCAGCCTTTCAGGACTTAAAACGGGTCTGTAAGAGAGATGGGGAGAGACTTTTTAGCAGGGCCTGTTGCAATAGAACAAGGGCTGATGGTTTTAAACTAAAAGAGAGGAGACTCAGGCCAGACATGAGGAAGAAACACTTTTACAATGAGGGTGGTAAAATCCTGGCACAGGTTGCCCAGAGAGGTGGCAGATGCACCATCCCTGGAGATATCCAAGGCCAGGCTGGATGTGGTTCTGAGCAACCTGATCTAGTTGTAAGATGTGTCTGCTCATTGCAAGGGGTTGGAACTGGATGTGCTTTGAAGGTCCCTTCCAACCCAAACTCCTCTACAGTTCTAGGATTCTATGATTGATGCCCAGACAAGAACTAGTGCTTGCATGTTACAGGGAAGAGCAGATTGTCACAGCACCCCAGACCCCTCAGACTCTAGGCAATCTGGTCACACCCTGCGTCGCACTAACGTTTCTCTTCCCCCCTCACCCCACTAGATCCCAGAGGTGAAGACCAGGTTCTCCCCCAACCCTTCTGCTGTTTTCCAGGCACCGTCACGGATCCTCAACGTGTGAACCCGGACCCTCCTCACACCCAGGCAGCTCAGACACGGAGTTAGATGTATCTATGCAATTTTCATGAGGAGCGTTAAAATCAAAGAGCTGGTGTTACCAACAGCAGCCCCAGTGATTAATGACATGCACACAAACTTTCTGTTAACACAACAAACCACAAAGCGCTTGGTTCAGAGCTGGTGAACCATCCTGTGAGGAGTGACCTAGTTTTACATGGGAGCAGGTTCATTACTCTGCCAGCTGGCCTCACATTAGGAGATTGGCAGCAAGTATAGCAGGCAACATCCCTGTGCTCACACAGGGTGGGAGGGGAAAACAGTCACAAATGGGATGGATAATTAAAACCAAAAAGAGTTTCATTTAGCAGCATCCTCTTAAGTAAAGAAGTGAAAGGGAGCATCTGGATGACTTTGGAGCTTCTTGAGGGGTTTTGGAAACAGGACCTGAAATTGCTGCACCAGAAAACATAGCACCAAAAGGGCTGGTGTGAACTTCCAGGATTGTTTCAGAAGCTGGAGGAAGCCAGCATCATTGAACTCCAAAATGCATCTGGCATATGCAGTGTCTTGGCACTTCAAGGCTAGAAAGCTGGATGTTTCCACAACTGGTGGGATCATGCAGGAGCAAGAAGGGACTGAACTTCAGGGGACAGCCCTGAGAGCAATGCACTAGCCTGGTTTGGAGAGGATTACATGGACAGTCAGGCACCTGCCAGGCTCCAGAGGAGCTGAGATACATATGTAATTTGTATAGCTGTTAGGGGGATTGTAAATACTGTATATGGATTTTACCTAAACCAATTTGTGATCCTTTAATGAAAAGGACATGCTTATACTTTTAATAAATGTTAAGTCTTTACATATGCAAGGTGGGAAATAATTGCCTTGAAATTCCTGAATTATTGCCTGTGTATTGGTAATGCTAATGCTAGGAACAACCGGAAGTGAATGTTACTTAGAAACTCTTCTTAACACAGAATGTCAGACATCCTTTATTTTGAAGATAGGCCATTTTAAGTGTCATTGTTCTCAAGCTGATTTTTTTTAGACTGGTCTACATTTTGCTGAGGTCCATGTGTTATAAGAAACTATTTTTTAGCTTTTGTTCATAAGGATTGTAGTGGGTTTACGGTTTCTGTCTCAATGACTTATGCAACCGTAATAGTCTACTGCATATTTCATGGTTTTCCTAATCCATTTTTGGGGAAAAAAATTGAAAACCTTATAGTTCATCTATATATATATATAGCTTGCAACACACAAATGTGTTGACTAGAATCAAAGGAAACTATCCTCAGACTTGACCAGTGATCAGATATTCATTCATCTGTAATGAATATTAATGAAATCATAATCATAGAATCACAGGCTGGTTTGGGTTGGAAGGGACCTTAAAGCTTATCCAGTTCCAACCCCCTGCCATGGGCAGAGACACCTTCCAATAACCCAGGTTGCTCCAAGCCCCATCCAACCTGGCCTTGGGATGGAACTTCCCACACTCATCCCCAAACCCAGAGGAACCTACAGTAATACCAGTGCTTGCCAAAATAATTTTTCAGGAGACTCATTTTTTCAGGAAATCCATTGGAAACATTCAAATTGTACAAAGGGTTTGCATGTTAGATGTTTCTAAGAATTCAATCTGCTTGTTTAATCTCTTTATAATGTTTCTTACAGTTTTGTTCAAACTGTTTGTTTCAATTCTGGACTTTAATAACAGCAAAAAAAAAGAGGATAAATTGTCTATTCAGTCTTCTTAAGTCATTGTATTTCTTAAAAGAAATCAATGCAGTTGTAAACAAACTGGTAATACAATAAGCTTGTATTTTATCAAAATGACTGGATTTAATTTAATAAATTAAAATGTATTTTGGCTACTGGTTCTTTCCCCAAACATTTTTTTTTTTGTTGTAAAGCATAACCCTTGGGTATTGAACCTTGCAGATCCCTGCATTTCTCTTACCTAGCAGCACGTGCAGGACAGTAGGGCACACAAGACACCAATTAAGGTGTGAGGAGATGCCTGACTGCAGTCACAGCCATCAGCAATCAATTCCTTACTCCTCAAGCTTATCTGCAGGCACAGACTCCGCAGCAAGAAAGGCTCCCAAGGCACATTTCAAGCTGTGGTCGAACTGCTGATGTGAAAGCACAAGTGTCTTCCAAAGGAAAGCTGTTGCTCTGCAGAATTCATAATCACTTCTGGGATTTTCCCTGAACATTTTCAAAGGGAAAGCAAACTCCTCAGCAAGCAGTCCATCAACATGCAGGGGAAAAGAGGTTGAACCAATGATACCTATTTCCTGCATTCACTATTGAACACACAGGGGGGCTAAATCTGCTCTGATGCAGGTACCACGCTCTCAAGATCCCCTTTCAGTGATGCCCACAGTGTGCCCTTTTAATACAAAGGGACAAGCAACTTGCATTTCATAGAATCCCAGACAGGTCTGTGTTGGAAGGGACCTTAAAGCTCATCCAGTTCCAACCCCTGCCATGGGCAGGGACACCTCACACTACAGCAGGTTGCTCCAAGCCCCTGTGTCCAACCTGGCCTTGAACACTGCCAGGGATGGGGCAGCCACAGCTTCTCTGGGCACCCTGTGCCAGTGCCTCAGCACCCGCACAGGGAAGAATTTCACCTTTGTTTCATTCTGCCATCCCACATAGATCACAGGGAAATGGTGCTAGCTTTGAACCTTGAGACCATCGCTTTACAGTTGTTCCCAAGAACGTTTTAGTGAGTAAAAGGTACTGAAGGTACAAAAAGCTTCCCTAGACAGTGTGATACCAGCTCTTTTAACTATGCCTTAGAATACTTCTAGGAGAAAGCCAAAGGGTCACAAACTATTGACTGGCTCTAACTACAGGAGGGATGAATGGAGGGAAGATCAATCAGGTACTTACCATTAGAAGGGACAGGGTGATGCAACTGGCTGCTACTGTCTGCAACACTGCTGATTTTGCACCTGCCTCAGCCAAACTGAAAGGTATCACACCAAGTTCCTCTGAAGGGGGCCAATCTACACAGGTTTTGCAGGCTCCAGGGAGTCAGAACACCAGGACTGCTTTCTATGCTGCTCTCTCACTAGCATTTCTTCCCAGTTGCTCTGGGTTCATATCCAACTCCATCAAGGCTTTCCAACTGTGAATCACACTACAAACAAGGGTGTTGACACAGAAAGAAACGTCACTTAGAGGGAAGGTTTTCCACTGGAAACATTTTAATTTGCTATCTTTAGGGGCACACTGAACCTGCTTCTTTTGCTCCAACTTGCTGACACAGGCTTGTTGGGATGCTGGCAAGTGAGTCTTGTGCCTCCTGCATGCACTATGCCTGAGAGCTGTCAACACCTGCACTTCCACATGCTGTTTTGTCTATGATGGTAACTGGTAGATGTCCCTGTTTTTATCCTGACCCTCAAGCCTTATTTTCTACCCCTGCTCTGCTGAAGGGGAGCAAGAGCAGCAGGGTGGGTGTCCAGCAGCCAGCCAATGTCAATGCACCATGCTTTTCAATCTTCCACACCAACCAATTACTCGCTGCTGTGGAGGAGTTAAGCTTGTTGAGCTCTGTGCTTCCCTTCCCCCAGCCTCCAAACCCAAGAGCTTTTTATAGGAACCAGAAAAGGGAAAAACTACCTTTTCCTTCAGCTCAATTCCACAACTGCCCATTTTAATCCACAACTAGGACATTTGGAATATACACAGCACACAAAAATCTGTGGATCTGGAGAAATTTGAGTGACAGCTGACAGTCAAGACAACCTTAGCACAGCTAATAAAAGAATTTATTGTAAACATATGTATCTTACACAATTATACAGTATAATACAGATAACATGAAGGATTTAAACACTCAGCATTACAAACAGGGGCAATATCTGTAAAGAGATTTTTAACTTGCATCAAGACTCTTTAGAAAGCCAGAGAAAAATACTGTAACATCTCAACACACTGGACCATCTGTAGCGTTCCACACATACGCCTGAGCGGGTGCATGAAATTCCACAACCTCTAAACTCATCTCCAAGCAATTCCCACAGGAACTTCAAGGACAAATTTTTCTCCCACCCCTTTTCAAAATTCAAAGAACTTGTTGCAAACATTTCCTATATCTGAAGGACTACACAAATGTGTTATTTTCTAGCTTCTTTTAACAGTTTATTTTTCTTCAGCAAACTTTATATATTATTAATATAGCATCCCCTAGGAGAATAACCTGTGGTTGCTCAGAAACGTAGCAACAGATCTGCACTGCAAGAACCCCATTAAGACCAAGGGGTATTTACTTGCCTGCTTCAGGGCCAGGTTCAGGACTCACTCTGCATCTCCATTCCCCACAGTAAAGCAGGACACAGGCAAAGGAAGCCACGATTTGCAAACAGATGCTGGAAGACAATCTCCTGCATCCTCAAGAGCTGCTCTGGGCATATCAAAATCCACAGGAGACAGGGGCTGGAAATCCATGTGTCATTGCACAAGATCCTAGCATGACTGAGTCTGCCCAAAGGGCTGTTCCCACACAACCTGCAGGCTGCCATAGCGATAGTGACAGGTATGTTGAAAATGCCCTTCTCTCTTGTGAAAGCTGTGTACAGGGGTGCCCAACAGCACTATGGACTTGGAATTCAGTACAGCCTACAAGCAAAGTGTGGGGCCTGCAGCTCCACAGCTACCTGGATTCCTCCCGACTCCCAACACTGAGCTCAACTATAATCACCACTGCTCCACTCCTTCACACTGACCTCAGCTGAAAAACCAGTGTCAGGGCTAAGCTGGGTACTTTACTTGTGCAGGCAATCCTGCACTCAGCTCACCCAAATAAACCAGGATTATCTTCTGAATCCAGAGTGTATGAAGTGCCCTGTGTAGGGGGCATTTAAGTCCTTCTCTGAATGCTGTTTGGATTTCATCCACTGGTCCCATTTCCTAAATTCACAGGTCAGATTCTGCCCCTCATATATTCAAGTGAACTGTAACTCTCTGTTAATTCTAATGAACCAACAGGGGCCCTCCTGCAGACCCTAGTTTTACTTACGGTGCTAAAGACAGACAATATCTCATCTGAAGTACATGGTACCTTCTTCAGTTTAAGAACTGCACCAAATCGACGCTGCTGTCCTCGGAAGCCTCGGTTTCCACCCTCTTCCACAGTTCCTGCACACTGGAAGTTACCATCTGTACTGCATGTTAACATCACCTGTCTTCTAGCCCAAAAAAAAAGCACCAAAAATAGCATTTTGAAAACTTCTATTCCTGTCCCAGATGAGGAAAGATAACTGTGGTTTAATGTTTATAAAAGGCTTTGTATTGTCAAAGCACGGCACCAACAAGAGTGAGGCCTCAGTACACCCCTTTGAGGTAGGTATCCTGCTCCCCATGCTCAGAGATGGGGAAACTGAGGCACAGAGTGATTACATCAAAGGCCATGCAGCAGATCACAGACCCAGCTGAGATCAGTGCATTGGAGGTCCTGGCTGCCTGACCCATGCTCCACCACATGACAGCACTGCCTCACAAAACAAGCATCCTGAAAGCATGACAATCAAACAGTTATCCCACCAACTTCACAATGGCTTATTCACACTACTAGCAAGCACCCATGGGGAAGGACAAAGGGGTGGTGGATGTGGGGCGGTCAGGATGTTGTCAGCGAAGCCTTCTTCAGTGAAGTGTTCATAGCCAGGCTGCAGACAGGTCTCCTACATCAGAGATGTTCCTAGACAGTTAAGTGCCAAGGTTAGTAGCAGAACTTCCTGCTGTCAAGACAGAGGAGATCCCTACAAGCAGCAAATCTCTGATATTTTGATCCTATCAAGCCTCTCTGTGTTGAGCAGAACTTCAGCCAAAGTGCTGCTGCTCCCCTAGCACTTCACAATCCAAGCTGATCATCAATCAATGCTGTCCAGACATTATGACCTTACAACATGGCTTGTTACCTGTCCCCCAGCACACTCCAAACCTTCAAGCAGCCTGGGGAGGCACTCGCTGGGTAAGGAAAGGGCTTCAGACAGTCAAAACCTACAAATACTGTCCCCACTCCTCTCTTTTCCTATGCAGGACAAGTGGTCAGTCAAGTTTTACCAAGCCTGACCATGGTTTGTTCATGGTGATTGAGCATGTGCCAGTCTACCCTTTTGAGGTGACTAAGAAAGGTAGCACCTGGCACCTCTTTAGAGGCAAGGAGTTTGGTTATTCCCTTTGCTGAAAAAGCTGACAATAAGCCAACCCAGCTTACTGATGTGTGCTTAGTCACATACATTGTATGCTGGAGCAGGACTGCCAGAATTTGCTGCAGCCATCAGCCTCCTGCTCACCCACACCTAAACCTACCTGACCAACTCACCCACCTACTCAAGTAACTACCTTTAAAAGTTGTCTTTTGACTTATCTTGTATTCAGAATGCCAAAGCAACTGTTCTGCCCACTGCATGGGAAGAACAACTCCTATGCAGACTGCATCAAAAAGAATAATTTCTTTCCTAAGAAAAAAATGTTCAATCTCATCAAAACAGCTGTCTCAGAGGGACCAGGCCTGTGGAGTCTCTCACAGCTAGCAACTCGATGCAAACTGACAATGTTTGTTCAGCCACTGAACATACACTTACCAAGTAAACACTGACATTTAACAACTTGACTTGGAACAGAGCATCGTTTTGTTGCATTAAGGTGCATCTTTAATTGGAGGTAACAATCTAGTAGCCCAATGTTATAAATGTATATAAGTGTCCTACAGAAATACTGGATTTGTCAAACCAACTTCAGTCATAAATCCACCTTTCCTGTAGCATCTTCTTTGCTCTATTTCATTGCTCCTCATTTAGTATCTTCATGTGTTTGTTTGTGAGGAAGTCAAGAAAGGGAATATTACAGA